GTTCTTTAAATATGCAAAATTTAAGTCATGGATGAAGTTTTGTGAAGATGCTGCTCCTTTATATTCAAGGCATATAATCTTGGAAGATTTGGAGGCTTTTCTTGTTTTTATCCCCTGTTATTTCTTAATTTTTTATTAAGTGAGTATATAAAGTTCCAGGTGTCATTATTTCTGACAAAGAACTATTAGAAAGAAATATACCCCCTCATCTTCTATTCAGTAATACTAATAAACCTTAAAGATGAAAAGTAAAATCTTGGTGTGAAGTTTTCATAAGTAAAACTGCCCTTTAAACTACATTTAAATTGTTATTATATTGTTTAAATTTTTATTTTAATTGTTATTATTAAATTGTTTTGTGATTACTAGACGCTTCAAATAGTTTCCTTTTTATAAGACCATAAATGTCTCTTTAAAATGTACTATTTGAAATTTTGTTGCCTTTAAAATACAGCAAAGCAACAAACTATTACAAAAAGGAACATTTTTTTTCTAGCTGTAAAAGATGTTATCACAAGAATATTCTCCAGGCTTCAGCTTGTATAGTTGAGATTATTCCAACGAGCAGAAGTTTGCAGAATTGGAGCTCTATTTCATTCTTTTTTGCAATGTGTTGGCATATGAATGAGATGCTTGTCCTTCAAATTAGGTGAGCAGAAGGACACTGAACAAGCAAAGTTATCCTTTTTTATCTAGTTCTAGTTAAAATAGATGAAAGCATGTTTTATCATACTTTTTTTTTTTTTTAATGGAATTGGCTAGCTGTGTTTCTGTCTCTGGCTGAAACTAATAAAAGACAATTCTACTTTTCATTTATACTACCAAACACAAGCTGTATATCTGAGACATAATTTTTAGTGGAGATGCAGGGAAGGCAAAACAATGTGATGGAATATCGTGCTTGTCAATGCTTAGTACAGCTGTTATTTTCTTTAATAACTCCATTGGATAGTGTGCATGTAGACTGGAATTCCGTTGCACCTAAATAACTACAGCATTCTTATTACTGACCACCCATGGTGAAATAAAACATAGATGTGCAGTGCTGACTTCCCATGTCTATCTGAATCCATGTGAGAGAATGGCTGAGGGACTCTTTGGATAGATTCATTGGCCATGACAAGAATGGCAACAGATCGAGGAAGAGTCCACTCATGCTAATGGTCTTTTTTCTTCTATTTCTGGTACATTATAACCTCCAAAATCTCTCCTGTATTACTTCAACTTGATGCCTGCTCTTCACAAATGAAGGAAAGACAAATCTGATTTTTTTATGCATGGCGAAATAGAACCATCAGATTCTAGCTACAGGGTTTAACCAGACTGTGACAGAGTGTTAGAGGGCAATTTTAATTTTCTTTTTTTGTTTGGCTTTCTACCACTCATTATTTTTCTGCTTACTGCAAAATAACACAACATCCTTTGATCCCTGCCTCCTTTCAAAAGTGCTGGTAGTGTGAAAGAGCTTCTCATACACAAACTAGCAATTTGTACTTCTCATAACTGTGTCAAATCAGCATTCTCCCTTACCTCTGGAACAAAGTTGCTGCAGAGTCGTGTGCAGCAACTGAAGAATGTTTTTGTGTTAAACAAGACTAACAGACTTTGGTCGTTGGTCTGATAAGTTCTCAGCTACAAGTTCTCAGTATTCATTCTGAGGCTTATGTATTTCAGAAGAAATAAGGGACAGAAACACAGTAGAAGCGTTATAGGTAGTGGTATTGGAAATTTAGGGAGTTTGAAGAAATGGTTGGAGAAAGGTTGCCCATAGAAGTTGTGGATGCCCCATAATTAGAAGTGCTCAAGGTCAGGCTGGATGGGACTTTGAGCAACCTGATAAAGTGAAAGATGTCACTGCATATGGCAGGGGGTTGGACTAGATGGTCTTTGAAGGTCCCTTCCAACCCATCCCTGGAAACATTCAAGGTCAGGTTGGATGGGGCTCATGGGCAACCTGATCTAGTTGAAGATGTCCCTGTTCATTGGAGGGGGGTTGGACTAGATGACCTTTAAAGGTCCCTTCCAAATCAAAATGTTCTATGATTCTGTGGTAAAAGCTGAATATGGCTGTAGATTTTTATTCCGACAATATTCCTTTCTCTGTGCAGCAGTTTCAGTGAGACATGTGCATGTCTGTATTAAGAATTCATTAAAAAGCAGGTTTTGCAGGAATGGTAAGAAATGGCTAAATATTATGACACTGAATGGAGTAGGGAGACATTTATTTTTACAATGCTATTTGAGTATATCTATCTCAAGAATTATCTGAGGCTTTTAGTGGCTCAGTGGTATAATGCATCCTTTGTCTAGTTCGGTACAAATTTTTGTGAGCTTTGTTTGCATAATCCAAGTTATTGTTTTGAACATACAAAATCTCATAGTTGTTAAGCTTTCATTAGAGAAAAGGAGAAAATTTTAACTTTAAAAACTTTGGGGAAAGAAAGTCTAACTTTAGACTAAAACCAAATTAATGCAGTCATCAATCCAAAACATTTGAATTCTTTCATGCCTGGCTGCATTTTATTCAGGCAGCAAGAGGTATAGTGCAAAGTTCACCATTGTAAGGAACCATGGCCATAGCTTTTCAAAAAAATGAACAACATTTCACTGAGGAAAGGATTTGACGAGTCTGGAAGAGAGAGCATTTTCCTTCCAAACACAAATACTACAGAGAGAAAAATAAAATCCCTGGAACAGCACAAGTATCATGTGCCTTGTCACACTGAGGCTGAAGAGGCCACTTACAAGAAATAGAAATGAAAATGTAAAGAATTGATGATTAAGTGCATTTCAGAAACATTCATTTTGCTTGTGTTTCCTCTCTCATAATGCTACCTATGATGTATGTTACAAGGACTGTAAAGAAATTATAGCTATATAAATTAGTTGCATAGAAGACATGTTTTTCCTCCAAAACCTGCATTTATTTCTCTGTTTTTGATACTCATAATGTGGAGCTGAAAGGTAAGCTTATGTAACTCATGGGTTTTGGTTGATTAAAAAAAAAAATATTTGTGTTGTCTTTCTGGTAAAAAACAAGGAAATCACAGAAGTACCAAATTCTGCCTGTTTGGATAGTAGACTGAAAAGTAACAGGAAGTGCTCTGCTTGAGGATTTCATTACATCAGTCTTGATTCACAAGGAGGAAGTCTCTGCTAATTAATTTTTGTTACATTCACTGCTTTTATCCTTAAGTCAGCACACAGTTCATGACAATATCTTTCCTCGGCATTGGGTTTTCTAACAAATTCAGTCATTCAAATGATTCTAAAAGATTTAGTAGAAAGAGAGAGGTTGAACACTACCTACTTCAGAGAATAGAAATAAACAGCATATTTATTTATTGCTTTATAGAGCAAAAAGAAAACCTGTATAATTCAGTCATGGAACTGAATGGATTGATAAATGGATAATTAATGGTCATTGACAACGTATGGAGCTTTAAATGCTTTCACACATTTTAAAAATGTTAAAAGTCCAGAGTAAATTCAGTTTTTCTTCCTTTTAGCTTTCCAGCGCCTGGCATTGTGCAGTTAGCTAGGTGTGCTGTGAAGTATTTTGTCTTTTTCTGAAATAACAATGAACTGACTACTTGAAGAATGGTAAATGCTGGGTTGTGAATATCCAGCAAAAGGCAAAACCAGTGATACCTGATAAACTATTTTTTTTGTGCTGTTACTTTGATATCTGTTTAATATCTGCTGAAACAAGTATAAAAGAGAAGCATAAACAGCAAAATAATTAAAGAACACTTAAACATAAGTCTGTAAATTGGTACTTTTTTCTGCTTTCTTAAGAAGAAATGGGGTAAAAACAAATGTAACCTTGGTGTAGAGGAATTAATGAGTGACTGAAGTCAATAGTGCTTTGCTTCCCCTCCAGCCATCACCTTTCTCAGATATAGTTTATTAAGTCTTTAAAGAAAGGATGGACATTCAGTCATTATTACCCAGTTATTGTAAAACTGTTATAATTGTCAAAGTTCTTGTTGACTCTCTTGAGGGGCAGGAGGTCTTGCAGAGGGATCTGGATAGATTGGAGCATTGGGCTATGATTAATGGGATGAAATTTAACAAGAACAAATGCCAGATTCTGCACCTAGGATGGAGTAATGCCAGGCACAAGTATAAACTGGGAGAGGAGTGGCTGGAGAGCAGCCATGCAGAAAGGGATCTGGGATGCTGGTTGGCAGCAAGCTCAACATGAGTCAGCAGTGTGCCCTGGCAGCCAAGAGGGCAAACCACATCCTGGGGTGCATGAAACAGTATAACCAGCTGGTCAAAAGAGGTGATTATCTGACTGTATTCAGTGTTGGCGCGGCCTCACCTTGAGTACTGTGTGCAGTTCTGGGCCCCACAATTTAAGAAGGATGTGAAGGTCCTTGAACGCACCCAGAGGAGGGCAACAAACCTGGTGAAAGGGCTGGAAGGCATGTCCTATGAGGAGCTGATGAGAATTTTGGGCTTGTCTAGTTTGGAGAAAAGGAAGCTGAGGGGCAACCTCGTTGCTCTCTACAGCTTCCTTAGGAGGGGACATGGAGAGGGAAGTGCTGAGCTCTTCTCCCTGGTATCCAGTGATAGGATGCGTGGGAATGGTTCAAAGCTGCACCAGGGGAGGTTTAGACTGGACATACTAAATGATCTTTAAGGTCTCTTCCAACCCAAACCATTCTATGATTCTATGATTAGGAAGCATTTCTTTACTGAGAGGGTCATCAAACACTGGAACAAGCTTCCTAGAGAGGTGATCAATGCCCCAAGCCTGTCAGTGTTTAAGAGGCATTTGGACCATGCCCTTAATAAAGTGCTTTAACTTGGTCAGCCTGAATTGGTCAGGCAGTTGGGCTAGATGATCATTGTAGGTCCCTTCCAACTGAAATAGTCTAGTCTATTCGTTTCTGTTTAATTAGCATTTTTCCCCTCTTTCTTTTGCTTGTGAACATTTTTTTATTTATAAAAACAATGTTTTGTTTTTCTTTTCTAAAATCTTGACATTACAGAGCATTAAAGATAGCCTGGGGAGACTGCTGGGTCATATAGACATTATTCACAACAAGAAGATACCGGCTTTGCAAAGTGCTACACCAAGGGAAGCGGCAAATATACAAGAAAAGCTAAGTCAGCTTAATTTCCAATGGGAGAAAGTTAACAAGATGTACAGGGACCAACAGGCGTAAGTAATTTTTAAAAACTGTTATTTCTGATGGCATCCGTTAGTATTTGGCTTGCTCTTGGTAATTGTTTCCTAGTCTGCTTTTTGTGGAAATACCTTTTAAAGTCACAAACGATACTTTCTTGTAAGTAAGCGTAGAATGTTTATAGGGAATTGTAATTTAATTTATGAGCATTTTTGTAAATCTGAAAATATTTTGACCAACTATCACTTGCATTAGACCAAAACCTGGCATGATATTGCATGCATATTCCTATGACATTATAAATGACATACCTTTACCCTGAGATAGTATTAGGCATTTACTCTTTTGTACCTGTACTATTGATTTGAAAATCTGAATCTGTGATGGGTGCATCAGAGTAAAATCCCTTTTAATTGCAGAGGATTTACTAGTTCAAGGAGCAGTTCTCACTTTATGTCTAAGGAGCACTGCTAGAATTCTTAGCAGCTCTAAATCCAGTGTCATCTTTTTATAAGTCTGTATATTAGACATTATACAGCAAGGCAGGCCAATCAAGAGAAGTATAGAAAGGCATGAAAATGATAATAAATAAAGCTGTGATCTCCTACAATATCATATAATACTTATTATTTTTCTCCTTGTATATTATTTGTGGTGTTTGTAATCTGGGAATCATATTATGATGCAAAATGTAGCCAAATCTATTTTGTTAATTCAGGCATGGCTCATGCTAGTAACACAACAGAGACTAGCAATCCAGGAATTCATTTCTACACTGTAGATATTTGATGTTTAAAATTTTTGGCATTGTGCAATAAAATACGTAGGTTTCTACTTCCTGTTAGTTTTTTTAATTAGGTGATATATCAGATGTTACTAGCAGTGATACAGAAATTTCTATGATTTGTGGAATATACTTTTTTGTTCAGTATGAGTAATTTAAGAGTTAACAAATAAGTTTGCATTAAATAAAAAGTCATAGTTTCAAGCATTTAGTGAATTACAACAGAAAAGTCTTTGACAATGCTTCTGAGAATGTAAACTATTAATCTGATACTGAAAATTCTTATATACATATGACTAGTTCTATTCATTGAAATTGTCCATTCATAGGAATTTTACAGAATTGGATTTTCAGACAATGCTGAAAGCTTGACCTTAAAAGTTTCATTTGATATGCTTCCCCAAAAGACAATAGATTGAAATTTGCTAGAATATCCCGTTTTACACTAGATCTGTTTAGAAATATCCCTCCTCTCAGAAACTGTTCTTAAAACCATTATAATTGTTCTGAAAAAATTAACTTACTGTCCAAATAATTATTGCGTTGTATAGTAGGAAGAGATATGAATCTAAACATGTAAGCAGTGACTAGAAGAAAAAAAAATACTTCCCGTGGACTTAAGCTGCACTGATTTTGTCCTACATTCCAAGCCTTGGTAACTTTTGTGTTTTCTTTGTTTAGAAATATTGGTAAACAGCTGTCACTTTGCAGATTTGTACAGACATATTATTTCCACTGTCAGCCAGCCACTAGATTTGATTATAGGTTGCTGGAGAGAGAGAGAGAAAAAGTTTAAAAAAATAAAGTCAGAGAGAATCATAGTAAAAAATATAATTCAGTAATCTTCATGACATCTCTGTTTTGTCTCAACATTTAAAGTGTAAGAAACTGAGACAGATTTATAATCTGGTAAATTTTGCAGATTCTCCCATGCACAGTACTTTTTTTAAAAATAGTAAGCCTGGCCCTGGTGTGGTAAGAAAGATTATTCTGCTTCTTATAATGCCGCATGCAAAAATGCAGGCTAAGTTAGAAGCAGATACTGGAACCAAGCTGCTCACATGGCTAATAAAAACCGGAGATATTTGGTGTTGCGCTTTTCCCAGTCTGGCTTTGCCCAGACTCTTACTGGTATAGTAGACTGAGTTCTTAGAATCTCCCCATATGCATTTTCTACCACTAGTGCATAGCAAGGAGAGCAATTTACTGTTAGCTGAAAGCTTAGACCACCAGCACTGCAACTCAGTTATCCCTTATTTAGACTATAGTGATATTTAGCCAGCAGCAGAAAGTATTCTGAGGTGAAATGAATTAATGTTTGTCAAGTATTTTGAGGTCATCAGATAAAGGCACTAGAGAATTGTAAAGTATGATTACGCTCCAGCTGGCGTTTGCCTGGGGGAGTCATCCTCTTTTAGTATGATAGACAGCAACTCAAGGTGATGGTACGCTTGAGTGCTGTCTGGAATCGCACGCTTTTCTTTTTCTTTTAAATCTTTTGTTTGTGGTGTCAGTCTTACTGTGTCACTGTTTCAGTGGTTTTGTTTGAACTCTGAGATGATCCCTATAGCGTCTGTAGTTTTGCGAGGTGCATTTGGACTGCACATAAATGCTAGGGAGGAGATGAAGGAAGACAATATGGCCTTTAGCATTTTGCTTCTAGCAGGTTGTGTCTGTAAGGGGTGAAAGTATCAGTGTAAGTCTGCCCTTGAGACATGGATGAAGCTGTGTTTATGAGATATGCTATTGATGATGATGTTTTAGGACAGTTTTGGAATTATTACTGGAGCTCTGTCTTGCTTTCAAGGAAGTGTATCTAAGTGAATGCGAGTATACCATGTTTGAAAGGTTACAGAAACAAATATACTATACTATGTTCATGTCTGAATATTCGTTTTAGGAAATCAAAGGGTTGTAATAACATGGAAATTATTATTTAAGTGAATGCAAAGTCAACTATCACCATGATAGATGGAAGACCAAAACAACTTTCCTTACCCTGTAGTTACTAGCAGATACCTTACTCTAAATCTCATAGAAATCAATAGAAACATTCATGTTGAATTCTTTTGTGTGAAATAGATTTCCTGGAAGTCCTGATTCATATCCAGATACTTTGTAATTAACTTTATAGTGAGTTCCTTTTAATTAGAAATCAAAATATTTTCAGTTTGTTTTACAGCAGAGCATGTGCCATTTTGACAGAAATTCATTATGATGATAAATACCCAAATAGCTTTGAGTCCAGTTCTTCTACAGTATTTGAAAACCTTTTTGTTTCACAATGTCACTTTACATGTTTCCTGTATTTGAATAAGTGTTCATATAATATTTACTGTAAGATAACAGGCAATATTTCACTGAAAAAGTATAAGCAAAAATGCTGTGATCATCCTAGTGTCTCTTTCAGTTGTATTAGAAACCTAGGATGAATGAAAATTTTTACTCTTCTCACAAACTCATTGAAATGCTATTCTTCAACTGACTAATTTTTTAAGTAAAGCCTAAACTTAGCATGGTTCTTTAACAGGACTGAGGTTTTTTTTCTGCAAAAATTGACTTTAGAACATGGTAACTGGTTGTGTTTCCAACAGATGTATGAGGGTCATACCATCTCATGCCAAGTGAAATTTGTATCTTTGGTTTTAGTTTTCTGAGTGCACAGCAAACTCCAGGAAACAGGAACAGTGGCATGATCTGCCTTTTGTGAGCTCAGGAGTAATTTATGATTTCATTTATAACTTCAACCTTTGCTCTCAAGATACTAAATTTCTATGTTATCTTTTCCAATAGTCACATTAAGATAATACAATCTCAATTTTGTAAAGTAGAGTTATGTTACAGTGCCAGTAAGAATAACCATTCAGATGCCATAGTTTCTCCTGTCCTTGTATCAGAATTTAACAGTAATCTCCCTTCTTTGCAGCAGCCTTAGATACTGTTTTTTTATATTAATCATGACTATTTAGTCAGTGACACTAACACCAGATCCTTATACATCTTCAGTGAGAACACATATAATATTTGAAAAAAAAAATATTCAATAGATAATAGAAAATAGATTTTTAAATTATTGTCTTGTATAACTATTTATCTTATCAACCTACCACATGTGGAAGACCTTGTTTCTCTTGTCAGGATATTGTCTTCTCAGGATATTTATGCCTCAGTCTTGTTTCTGTGAACAACACGTACTTCCTAAAAGTACTCCTTTCTAACAGTGCCAGAAATCACTGAATCAATAAAGTGCAACAAACTTTTCCAGAATAGACCAACAATACGTTAATTTTAAATATTTCTATAGCAATTGCAAATCACTCACAGAGAATGTAAAAAAAAAAAATAATAAGCACAAGGCAGAAAAAATAGAAAAATACTCAAAAGAATCTAATTTAAAAGCAAAATACTTAAATTTACAGATATTGTAGACCTTGAATATTTTTGAAACTGTTTCTTGACCATGAGTTAAAATTCTAATAGATCCTTCATATTAATTTCAGGAAACTAATTTTTGCCTTTTTCATGTTTTATTTAAGAATTATCTTCCAGGGCACACATTATAGATTAGATTAATGATCTTCTAATTAATCTGAAATCTACTAAAAATTAAATGTTTTGAGAGAATGTGGGAAAGTTGATACCAGATATCTTTACAAAGTGTTTCTTGAGAATTCTGAAAAGAACAAAAAAGTGATATGCTGGTCTTATATCAGAAAAGATCCAAAATCCATGATAATGCTGCTAAAACAGATTGATGACTTTTACAAAGTCACAAACAACTAACAATTTTTATAGTAACAAGAACAAACCATAAAGAACTAGTTAATAGGCGTATACTAAGAATTCTTTTCATTTTTGGACAGCAGTACAACTGAGTAGCCTTAAAGAAGCTGTTGATTAGCTTGATAAGGCCTAATGAAAAATGTGTATTATACATAAAGAATCTCTTCATTGGCAGAGAAATAATATTTTGTGGTCGTATTTCTAACACCACATAGTAGCAGATGTAATCCCTCACTGATATATTCTGTCGAGTTGAGAACTGATCTGATGCATGGATCAAGATATTATGAAAAAGAAATGCAAGACATTATTTTTTCAAATGCAAGTAACCTACGTATGTCCTGTAAAGGTGCAGAGCCAGCCATCAGTAAGCCTTGAGGACTGCTCGCTTAGATAAAAATGTATAGATACAATATTACGACATCTGGATTCAGCCCAAATGGTGTATTCAGAGTATAGTTCTCTTTC